AGGTTCCCCAAAGTCAGCAGGGTCAGGGGTTTTGTTCATCAGGTTTCCATGGTGACTGTAATAGTGTCTGGTGGATAGTGGGTGATCAATAACATTTTTGAATGCATAGAGCTATTTAACAGCAAATAATCGCACTGGGTTTTTGGTAATCTTTTAGAATGAGTTTATAAATATTGAGCCTTGAAGACCATGGAAGCAGAGGACAGGAAGAAGAAAGACTGAAGATAGAATAATTGTTTTTTCTTTTTCATATTCTGTTTCTTTAAAAAAAAAAATCAACCCTTTTTAAAAAAAGTTCATGATTTCTTTAATGAATGGAAAGGACAGAGAGAAACAGACAGTACTCCCAATACAGTCTGTAAGTCATGATACATCTTTATTTGGCCCCAGATCATGGACACATGTATGCCCGGCATATTCAGGGAGGTCTCTGTGAGTGGATCTAGAATCTTCTCACGTGGGTCAGCCATGCATGGCATCACCTCTTACTGATATGTCACCATCCTGTCTCCTATATAAACCTTTAATTATTTTTGGGTTTTTGCCATAGGGTATATGCACCTGCTGGAGAGAGACAGAGACAATGAGAGAGAAAGTGAGAAATCACCTCTCCAGGGGGAATAGCCATGCTGCAATCCCTTCTCCATTCTCCTCCTGAGATTTGGGGTATGCATGCATACACATCTAGGTCTGATATGGTAGGCCATGTGAGAGTCTAGAACCTTTACCACTATGCCACCTGCTGGCCCCCAAATCAACCATTTTTTGATATGTAATTCACTTATAAAATGTACTGATTTTAGGTATACAGTTCTATGAATTTTGACAAATGTATACACATGTGATATATACATACACATCGCCCTCAAATTTCCCCAGTGCCCCTGTCAACCTCTGCCTATTCCTGGCCACAGGCAGCCACTGATCTGCTTTCTGTCAACACCGAGTAACTTGCCTATTCTAGAATTCCTTCAAATGGAATCATGCAGTTTGGAGTTTATTGCATCTGGCTTATCTCACTAAGCTTACTCTGTACGATTCATCCATGTCCTTGCATGTCCACTCCCTTTTAGGCAAAATAGTATTGCATTGTTTGGGCATACATGGGTTTGTTTATCCATTCACTTGTTGCTTGACATTTGCGGTTTCCAGTTTGGGACTATTATGAAAAAAGCTATTAACATCACATCACTGTACAAGTCTGTGTGGACATATGTTTTCATTTCTTGTGAGCAAAACCAACCTAGGAGTCGAATTTTCTGGGTTGTATGATAAGTAAATGTTTAACTTCATAAGACATTGTTTTCCCAGGTAATCTTACCATTTTATACTCTTTCCAGCAATGGGTGAGAGTTCCAGTTGCTCCACTTGTTCTCAAATACTTGTTATTTTATCCATTCTGTGCCTCCCTTCTTTTCATCCCCTCTCCCTTCCTTACAAACATTTCTTGACCTATGTGCCTAAAGGGAGCAAGTTTCTACCAATAAGACACCTTTCTCTCTCACTTTCTCTCTCAAACACACCCTTACATTCACAGGAATAGAGGGGTATTTTCCTCAGAAAATAAAACAAACACAACTTAACCATTTACCCCAGCTTCAAAACCAGCGCGCAGAGGTTTCTCCAAAGAGCTCACTCCAAGCCTCTCCACTGCTCTCTTCTCTGCTAATATTATAAATAATTGTCTTTTCAAAAAGCTGGTTTGTGGCCGGCACTGGAGAGCTCCAGCTAGAGCGGAAAGCTGTAGGCTGCCTCTCCGAACCTTCCTGGCGGCCCTTTTTCCCCACCGGCTTAAAGTCCAAAGACGCTCTCCGGGTAGCGCCCAAGTTCCCCAGAAAAGACCCCAAGGAACGTACCTTCCGGACACCCCTGGCACCCTTGCAACCAGGGCACGGGGCATGCTCAGAGGCCGTGCGGCAGGCGCAGGCGTCGGCTGCAGTGAGGCCCAGGAGCCGGGAGGTGCCGCTGCGTCCCCGTTTCCTGGCGCCTGACCCAGCGCGCAAAGTTGGGCTGGGAGCCGCGGAGGGAAGGAAGGACCGAGCGAGCGAGAGTGGCGGGGAGGGGGTGGGGGAGGCGGAGGGAGGAGGGAGGAGGGGAAGGAGCA